GGATTCAAACCCGCCACCTTAGGTGTATGTGGCTGGCGCCTTAGCCGCTTGAGCCACAGGCGCCAAGCCGAGAACGTGACTTCCAATGAACTTTTCTTTTGGTGGGCCTACCTGTAGTCCCAAGAAAAGTTGGTCTTGGAAGAAAAATCAGTCTAGGCAAGAATGTATTATATACCCACTAATAAAATAATGGCCAACACTTATTGAACTTTTTCCATATTCCAGGTACTGGTTGGATTGTCTCTGAATCTCCACTGACTTCTGAGACAAACTGCCTTTTTAAAGGAAAAGAAGTTCTGAAAGGTCGTGGTGCTTGCACAATGTCTTACAGATAATAGTCATTTCAAATACAAATGGGTAAAGTAAAAGATGAGCAGAATGCAGTCAAATAAACGCTCCACGTCAAAAAGCACAACACTGCAATAAGCAGAATCCTCTTTTCCCCTGTCCTTTCTTCTCACAAGAGACCACATTCTGATACTGAGATCCGTAAGAGCGTGGGCACTAGCTCCAAAAAAATTCAAACTAGTTACTGGGAGAAAGTCAGGCACTGTGAGGGGCAGATTCCACGTGGGACAGAGGAAAGGTACCGGTTCTGGAGTTTTGCAGCCAAGCTCCAAATCCTTACTAAATTCCTATTAGGGGCCCGATCCTGGGCAAGTCATGCTACCTGACAATCAGCTGTAAAATGGAGCTAAAATACCTACTTTGGAAGGCCTACCGGGAAAGTCAATGGGTAAAGTCAGCCAGGGACACTACACTATACCCGGCGGCCGTTACCGGGGAGTTACGCTCTCCACTGCAGAGACCAAAGTGTCAAAGTTGGGACACTGCGGCACCGCCCAGACGCGGGGCGGGGCCCAAGGGGGTCAGGGCCGGCCCCGCGCCGCCCTCCCCCAAAGGGCCGCGTGGCCCGGCGCCACACGCCCGCCCGCTAGCTCGCCCGGCCGCCGGGCCCTCAGCCTGCCCCTCTCCCGCCTCTGCACTTCACGATCCCCGCTTCTCCCTAGTCCCGCTAGAGGGGCCCGCGCCCCGCCACCCACCCGCCCTGCGCCGCCTTGCGCCTCACCTCGCTGCGTCCCCCTCCTCAGCGCCGAGGGGCGGCCAGACGCGCGCGTCACCAGGCTTGCGTGCGCGCCCCCGGACGACACAATCACGAGCGCGCCGCGTACCGCGCGCTCGCCGCCTCCGCCCCTTCCCCCTTCCCTCTCCCGGCCCCTGGCCTCAGCGCCTGGGGCCTCTGCCCCCCGCTGTTTGCGTTCTCTCTGCTCCTTCCCCGGTTTCCGCCAAGCGCCGGCCGCAGTCCCTGTGCCTGCAGACTGCGAGGATGAGGCTAAGCATCCTGCCCGAGTTTTGAATATCACCCGTAATCACTTTTCCCGTGTGGCGCGTGGCCCGTCGCCAGAGGCTTCCCCGTGCGGGGTGCGGTTCGATCCCCTGCGGAGTGCGGCGAGGCGTACCGGGCCGGTATGGTCTGATGTTCCCACCCGTACCCCGTTGCAGCGGAAGATATTGAGGCTAAGTGACTTGGCCCAAGGGCAACGAGCCCTGGCCGCCTCTCAGTGCTGCTCGTGGATTAACCAGCCTGAATGGTTTAAGGGGTGAGGAGGGTACGTTTCTTCCAAATGCTTCTGGAACATCGAATTTGTCTTCTTTGGAAAGAACGTCCTCTTTGGGCTTCAGAGGCCCAAATTGAGGCTCAATGATGACAGGATGTGGTGGTCTACTCTGATGTCAATCTTGAGGGCTAGGTATGTCCCAACGTCTCTTATTACTGCTACTAATGATTATTATATCATTTGCCGAGTACTTATTGCATGCCCTACTTTTTACAAAGTAGGTTACACATATGGTGTCATTTAAAACTTAGGAGCTGGGCAGCTATTATTATCCCCATTTTCAAGGTGATGAAATTTAGACACTGGCACATAAACAACTTGGGATCACTGTGCTAGGAAGTGTTGGCTAAGAGGATTCAAACCATAGTTTATCTTAACCATTATGCTGCTGTTGTATCTATTTAGAAGTGTATCTTTGATAAATTTGCCCAGTGTCTTTTAGAATCATTTATACTTTCTGCCCGGAGCGTGACCCTTTAATTCTTTTTGTTTTGTATATGAGTAGTAACGTTCACTGTTAAAAATAAGTAAATACGGGCCAGGCACGGTGGCTCATGCCTGTAATCCCAGCACTTGGGAAGCTGAGACGGGTGGATTGCCTGAGCTCACGGGTTGGAGACCAGCCTGAGTCAGAGCAAGACCCCCTTCTCTAAAAAATAACATGGCGTTGTGGTGGGTGCCTGTAGTCCCAGCAACTTGGGAGGCTGAGGCAAGAAAATTGCATAAGCCCAAGGTTTGAGATTGCTGTAACGCCACAGTACTCTACTGAGGGTGACATAGTGATACTGTGTCAAAACATAAATTAAAAACTAAATAAATACTACATATGGGCTCAGCGCCTGTGGCTCAAGCAGCTAAGGCGCCAGCCACACACACCTAAGATGGCGGGTTCGAATCCCCAGCCCGGGCCCGCCAAACAATGATGGCTGCAA